CTTTCCAGGACTCTACTTGGTAGCCACTGAAGGCTTGTTCGACCTGGGAGCCAAGGTGATTTAAAAAAAAATCAAGTTCTGTCTCGAACCCGCGACTATCCAATCCGCAGGCGAGTTCTAAACGCTACACCACGGGAGCTCCCATACTTTTAGAAAAGCAGAATGGAAATTTACTGAACATATCAACAAAAAACAAAAACAAAAAAAAAGACTTGAGCACTTCAAAACAGACTTGAGCACTTCGAAAAAGACTTGAGCACTTCCTAAAAGACTTGAGCACTTCCTAAAAGACAAGTAAAAGACGAGGACTTCAAAAATGACTTGTGCACTTCGAAAAAGACTTGAGCACTTCCAAAAAGACTTGAGCACTTCCAAAAAGACTTGAGCACTTCCAAAAAGACTTGAGCACTTCCAAAAAGACTTGAGCACTTCGAAAAAGACTTTAGCATTTCGGAAAAGACTTGAGCACTTCCACAAAGACTTGAGCACTTCGAAAAAGACTTGAGCACTTCGAAAAAGACGAGGACTTCAAAAAAGACTTGAGCACTTCCAAAAAGACTTGAGCACTTCCAAAAAGACTTGAGCACTTCGAAACAGACTTGAGCACTTCGAAAAAGACTTGAGCAATTCATAAAAGACGAGTAAAAGACGAGGACTTCAAAAATGACTTGTGCACTTCGAAAAAGACTTGAGCACTTCCTAAAAGACTTGAGCACTTCCAAAAAGACTTGAGCACTTCCAAAAAGACTTGAGCACTTCGAAAAAGACTTGAGCACTTCGAAAAAGACTTGAGCACTTCGGAAAAGACTTGAGCACTTCCAAAAAGACTTGAGCATTTCGAAAAAGACTTGAGCACTTCCAAAAATACGAGGACTTTCAAAAAGACTTGAGCACTTCCAAAAAGACTTGAGCACTTCCAAAAAGACTTGAGCACTTCGAAACAGACTTGAGCGCTTCGAAAAAGACTTGAGCACTTCCTAAAAGACGAGTAAAAGACGAGGACTTCAAAAAAGACTTGAGCACTTCCAAAAAGACTTGAGCACTTCGAAACAGACTTGAGCGCTTCGAAAAAGACTTGAGCACTTCCTAAAAGACGAGTAAAAGACGAGGACTTCAAAAAAGACTTGAGCACTTCCAAAAAGACTTGAGCACTTCCAAAAAGACTTGAGCACTTCCAAAAAGACTTGAGCACTTCGGAAAAGACTTGAGCACTTCCAAAAAGTCTTGAGCACTTCGAAAAAGACTTGAGCACTTCGAAAAAGACGAGAACTTCCAAAAAGACTTGAGCACTTCCAAAAAGACTTGAGCACTTCCAAAAAGACTTGAGCACTTCGAAACAGACTTGAGCGCTTCGAAAAAGATTTGAGCACTTCCTAAAAGACGAGTAAAAGACGAGGACTTCAAAAAAGACTTGAGCACTTCCAAAAAGACTTGAGCACTTCCAAAAAGACTTGAGCACTTCGAAACAGACTTGAACACATGGAAAAAGACTTGAGCACGTCAAGAAAACAAAATGTTCAGTATAGTGTCAATCTAAATATTGTTAATTTATTGCACATACAAAGGTGCCGCCTCCATAGTGTAGCGGCTAGATGCTCGCCTGTGGGTTGGGGGGTCGTGGTTTTAGGTCCTGAAGGATCTAGATTTTTTTTTGACCTAGTGGAAATAGGTTCCAGGTACACCCCTGGGAAGTAAAGGTGGACGGCATAATGTTGACCACATCCCCTACAAAGTACTAATTGGTCTATACAATTAGGGTTGAGCCCTATACGCCCAGTACACATGAAGACGTGGGGAAAAAAAGTCATTAGCTTTGCTTACTACATTGTTAATACGATGATTGCAAGTAAAAATTATTAACAGGCTTATATATTTTTTTTTTTTCCAAGGGCTAAGGCCCTCCCCACACAAATAATAAGAAAAAAAAAACATTTGCAAAACCCCTAAGTAGTTTATAAATTTCATAGCATTTCATATATTTTATATTTCTTTGGCCATTCAACGTATAATAGTTATAATAATTACTACTGTTATCATCAGTATTATTACTACTACTATAAAAAAAGGCTTAGGTTTCCTTGTGTCAGTAGGAACATATAAAGGCTGCTTATTCCGTGTGTTTTCTATGTGTCAACACCCGTGAGCAACTGTGTGTATAGAATAAAGACAACTGCGAACTAGACCGAGCACTTATATCTGGGAAAAAAATATATTGAACATTGCAGCACACAGAATATTGGCTAAATATTTTGCTAAATTATTTCAGGTTATGATTTGTCGTCTGCAATGATTGGCTTCCTGTGTGACAGAACAGTGTTTGCTAGCTCCACCCACAACTTGCTATTAAACCCAGTCAATGACAATAACACAAAAGTTGTTTTCGTAAAGATTTCTGCTATTGGTAAGTTGTAAAAAAATTATGTATTATAAATAATTTTTTTTTTCTTTTTAACGTTCGCAGGCTGTAAACTCCAGGATGGAGATTTGATTGTTATTCACTTCTGGGCTTTATTTTGTTCTGTTCCAGAACTTGCGTTTTAGATGCACATCCGTTTTACAGATATGGTTTATTTGTATGCAAACAGGGGTATGTACATACGGATTAACATCTAATACGAAAGGGCCTTAAAATACAATGAGATATATGAACATGTGAGATCAAATGGTTAGAAAATGTTTCAAAACTAACACCATATAGTGCACCAAAAAGTACCAATACTACTTAAGCACAACCGAAGCAGAACTAGAGGTTGACCACGCAAGTCATGGATAGGTGGAATATATTAGGTTGTGAATACCAGCATCTACATAGCACTTATCAAGCATACAATGTCTATTCAAAACATGACGTTGAAAAGCGGAACAGGAGTATAGAAGAAGAAGATAATGTAAGACGTTTTAAAGATCGGGTAATTAATACAATCGAACTCCTAGGGGAGAAATAATACCTCTTATCGCTCGTTTGATTTCGAAGCTCTAACAGTCCCTGGATATGGATCAGCACAACACAAACTTTAACTAACAGGCTTGTGTTGACCGTTGTTGCGTGATGTTTCATGTTCACAACAAGTTAGGTTGGAAGCCCGTGCGAGGTACAGCAGCAGGGAATACTAGAGGCCGACCTGAAGACGAGGCAAGACCAGAGGTTAGATCTTGGTCAGGTGCGTAACAGAGGTCGAGGAAGACAGTTGTCATATGTGATGATGTTGAATATAGGGTAAATGAGTTGTTAGATAGTTCTGCCTCGATGGCTAGACAGGGGTGGCTGTTGATAAATTTTTTGATAGAGAAATAATTATGAACTACAATAAAGTTGGCAGAAGTTACAAAGTACGTTAGCCTGTGTTATGGTGAAGAGTTGTAACTATTTATGCACAGTAGTTTAGTGTGGACACGTTAAGAGGAATGATGCCAACCCAGAATGTTGAACCCTAGACAAGCTGATGCTTCGTAAGGAGACGGTAAGTGGTATAGATAAATATAGTGCTGACCTACATCAACGAGGTTGGGAACAGTTTCACTTCTGAAGGAAACCACACTCACTGAAATAACTGAATGTTTCGATCCACTTCTACATCAGCCGGTTAAACCACAAGCGCCCTTAACTACAACTTCATCTTCTAAAAATATATGGGGGCTGCGTGGTCTCGATGCATGGTGTCAGCCTCGAGTGCTAGAGATCCTGGGTTCAGGCCCCGGTAAAGGCTGGGATTTTTTCTGTTCACGTGGACTTCTGGTAATTTCCCCTGGTCTCTGGGTATGTAGATCGGATGCCCGTGTGCATTGTTGCCCACTTGAAAATCCCTTGGCAGTTGAAAATTGAATAGAGTAACCTAACGGCGCTGCCCTGGCAATATTTGGAGTTGAAAGTCGACCCAAAATATTTCAGAATCCTCGCCGGTCCTACAGTGCACTTCGCTGAGCTACTTCGGACTCAGACTTAAGTTAGACGAAGAACGGAGCATTTACGGTTTACTACTCGTGTGCCATGATGTTGATCCGTTGTTCAAACTTCAAAACTTCAAACTTCTTTTAATAGTCTCTGCTGTGTGACCTTAGTAGTCATGTCTATCAACAGCCCTCTGTTTTTTGTACATTCAGTCAGTTATGACATCGATGATCTTCCATGCCATGATGTCGAACTCTTCACCACATTCTGTCTCGGTCTCCCTGTGGCTCTTTTCCCCTCCAACGTTTCCACCGGTACAATGTACTCCACTTTCTTCTTCCCATGACATGAGCTTTCAAACTAATTTATTTCCCACAACTGATCATAGCCATCAAGTGCCTTGTCAGCTGGCGTAGGCGTTCATGCATCTTAACTGATCTCGGACTTTGGTGTTCTGAATCAATTCTACTGATGAAATTCCTCCATGCCACTGTCTTAAGCCATTCACCATCGTTTCTCTTGGTCTGCCTCTGCCTCTTCTACCAGTGATCCCTCCAGTCGTTACAACTACTTTAAGGAAAGTCGTATTTTGTTTGTTTATCTCGACTTGGATTGTTAGCAGTAGCCGAATTGCCTCCGTAACTGGCGCATTACGTTTAAAGAAGGTTTACTAATCGGCAGAATTTTATATTGTTCTGGTCAAAACTGAAAAGTATCCGACTGCAAATAAATTATTGAGGGAATTTGAAGCGACAAGAAATTGACGCATTCCACGTTGTTTTGGACTGAAAAAAGTAAATATGTGTTGTCCTATATTGTTAAAATATAGATCTTTCTGATTGTAGACATACACACAATTAATTTTTTTTAAAGAGACTATCAAAGCATTTTGTCAACATTAAAAGACAAAGCAGCAATACTGGAAAGAATAATGGCAAGAGAGCAAGATATAGACAATGATACAATCGGTTGGAGGATAACATCAAGAAATGGACAAACAGCAGTTCGAGAGAGTGTTGGAGATACAATACAGCAAAAGGTCCTGTAGAGTCAACAACTGATTAGTAACTCAGAAAAAAACCCACATCTAAAACATTGCTGGATTTCTCAGGTGCAGCATGCAATGGGAAAATTGAGACAAGACAGGCCAGTCATGATGAAGTCAAACATCTTCCAGAAATGGCCAACTCTAAAACAGGCTATGCGCAGTGAGTTTAAAACCGCGTCAGTAACTCTGTTTCATATATATATATATATATTTTTTTTTTCTAGTAATATACTTCTCGTCCTTTTTAGGATGAAATGTTTCGTTATTTGAAGCTGTACTCTGGCTTTTGCCATGGGCCGCAATATAGCCTGGTCATAAATATGGCCTAAAGGCTGAACGCGGTTTCTGCAACCTCTCCACGGTGATCCTCACCCACATGGTAGCACATTGTATCATCGGGTGTTTATCGTTTGTGTGATGTCCTGGTGGGGTAGAAAGTCAGTCGTCTGTATTATACAAATTGTTATATATTTCTGTTGACCACCTTTGTTGGCCTATTCTATACACTCATTAATCACTGTCAACCCTCCAGTGACTGTCCTCTGTAACATATTTATCCCCATCATAACGTGCAATTAAATCCATTATTAGTTTAAAATACACGTCACCGTGCAAACGAGTTAAAACAAACAATTTGAGATCGTGCATCTTTCCCGGGGCAACTTGTGGATATGTCCATATTTCTCATCATTATAAGTAAAAATGTAAAGTCAATGACCCTTTTCTACGCCTTTGGGCGTATAGGGCATATAGGGCTAGACCTATATTTTTAAAGACCAATTGGCTCTACTTCCCGGGACTGCACCTGGTACCCACTAAAGGCTAGGTCGACCTGGAAGCCAAAGTCATTTTTTGAAAAAAGTCCGGCTCTTCCAGGGAGTTAACCCACGATCTTCTGATCCGCAGCGAGCGTCTAGCCGCTCCGCCACAGGGATTCCCTCATCAGTACAACATGAAATTAAATCCATTATTAGTTCACGATACACAGTCTCTGTACAAGCGAGTTGCAGCAAACAATTTGAGATTATGCATCTTTTCTATGGCAACTTATGGTTGTGAGTCATTGACTGCTATTCATTTGAGAAATAAATCGGAACCTTTGAACTGAAATACCAAAGAAAGATTCTAAAAATACCATGGACCAAGAAGGAAAGCAAACTGATATTCTATATTGCCTGAGTATCTTGGAGAACTGTCTCATAAACAGCATCCTGTCTGGAAAGCTGATATACTTTGGTATTGTTAAACGCACTGGTGACCTGAAAAGAACAGTTATACAGGCTACAGTTTCCGGAAAATGATGCAGAGGCAGAGCTCTGCGAAAATGGATGCACGACATTGATTGATTGATTGATTTGATTTGATTCAAGAACCGACATCACAGCACTCAGGGCATTCCATAAGCGCTCCGTCCGCATCTTCAGCAGCCAGCGAAAAGTTCCGATACTAATGGTGCCAGCAGCATTAAGATTAAACGTCCGTCTTGCCTTTCCTCAGAGTTTAGAGCATCTGCCAGAACCTCTCGTCACTCCCTGCTGCTTCAATCTGCCCAGGCTGTGGTGATCCATATGCTCCTCCGAACTGTACATTTATTTATTGTATAGTGATTCAAATTATACATAAGTAGATATTTTTTATCGTATAGTGATCTAAATTATACATATGAAGACATTCATTTATCGTCTAATGATCTCAATTATACATATTTAGACATTCATTTATCGTTTAGTGATCTCAATTACACATTTGTAGACATTTATATAGGGAGCCGCCATGGTCTAGCGGCTGGACTTTCGCCTGCGGATCGGAAGGTCATGGGTTCAGGTCCTGACAGGGGCCGGACTTGTTTAAAAAAATGACCTTGGCTCCCAGGTCGACCCAACCTTGAGTGGGTACCAGGTGTAGTCCTGGGAAGTAAAGGCAGCCGGCGTGATGCTCACTACATCACTCACCAAGTGTCGTTCGATCTATAAAATGTAGGTCTAACCCTATACGCCCAATGACCTAAAGGGGTGGAAATGGGTCCCTTACTTTTACTTTTAGATATTCAGTTATCGTCTAGTGATCTAAACTGTACATTGTAGATATTATTATTGTGTATAGTGAGTGATTTAAACGGAACCCAACATATACATTATTGTGTATAGTGATTTAAACGGAACCCAACATTTACCATCTTCTCGTGGCATAAAATGTAAACAGAAACTATTTGTATTGTCTAGTGATCTAAACTGCACCTTCCTTCTGGAGTCCAGCATCGATTCTGATGCTATTGAAGTTACCCTCAGTGGTCGGATGGTGACCAGGGATATGTTCGAGTGTGAGAGCGACGCAGTTACTTTATATGATGGTACGGTCATGTTCACTTGTGGTAGCATTTTGATACATTCAGAAACATATCCTCGTCGATTGTATGTACACACATTAATACATTGTTTGTATTTAAGAGTGTTTTCATAATTATAATTAATATGAGATATTCATTAAAGAAGATTAGTCAAACCTGAAATGTTCTACTATGGAGTCTTTATAAGATAAAAGTCGACAGGATCGACTAAATTCCAACCAGGTTTTATCCCTCTGCAGAAAGGCCAGACGCCAAGACCGTCGCATAAATCACGAGCTCAGTATCTGCGGCGATGATTCCAAGGGATTTTTCCGTGAAAATTACACTTGTGAATTAATTGAACGACGCAGCCGTGACACGAGAACCCGATTTTCGAGAACGCAAGGCAAACGGCTTGACTGCTTCGCTAGACTTGCTTCGCTAGGATAGTGTATATTTTTGGCCCGAAGTTTCACTTTCCCTTCGACCCGTCCCCCCCCCCCCCCCCCCCCCCCCACAGACACATAGGTACTGAAAGGAATATACATACTCACAATTTTGGCATTCTGCATCTTTGTATTGCAATAAATGAAATTACTTAAATTTCACACAAGAATACCTCAGGGTTTCACCAATCATTTGACACGTTGATGAGAGAAGCCAAAGGCGCTTCACTGGATTCCATCCTTGATATCGAAGTGATTGCACAAGATAGAAGTGAATGGTGAAAAAGACCGCGAGCCCTTTGTGGTATATAATGGCACAATAGGGCAGTGAATGATGGAACCATTTGACCAATGCGATAGTGGCGTGAAAAGCGTATGTGCTTTGCTTACTTTTATAAGCAAATGCAGAAAGACGATATAGGAGGATACACTAGACAACAACAACAAAAGTATTCACAGGTCTGTAAGCTGAAGTCATCTGTAGACAACAGGTTAGAACCCCGCTATTGTAGATGTGTACACTACCGGTTGTGACCCTTTTTGAGGGACCGGACAACCCTTTTACATGGGTTGCCTAAGACCATACGAAAAAAAAAACATATTTATTGAAGTTATAGAGAAAAATAATTTTTTGGGGGGTTGCCACAACATGAAAGAACGGTATTAAAGGGTTGTGGCTTTATGAAGGTTGAGTGCCACTGGTCTATTGGCACATACAGAAGATCTGAAGAGACTAGGTATAAAAAGTAAGTTGCTGAAAGAGCTGAGAAACAACGGAAAAATGTCTGCCCCATTAAAAGACATATAACGCCTATAAAAAAACATACTGTCGTAAACGTTGAAGGCAAGAGGCAGAATATCAAGAGGCAGGTTGCTTTGGAGTTCCCGTGCAGCCAATCTTCATCGCGGAGATGACACCAAACTTATTTATCAACACGGTGTCCTTCTGTGTTTGCTTAGAAGATGTCGAGGACAGTCTCTGCTACGATATATAAATGTGTTCAAGCAGGACATGAATGATACAGGTATGATACAGGTATTCGTAGATGTAGAGTCGTGGGAACAAATGCCAGTGACCACGTTTATTGGATAGGACAAGTCGGGAAGGGAATGAAGAAAGGTGAGGGGGGGGGGGGAGGGACATTTGATGGTAGAGAGTTGTCTGTTTGACCGTCTCTGTATGCATGATGTGTTCAGCTCCCTGAGGAGGCTAGACGATGACCCCCCTAGGATGTGTTCAACATCACACAGGCCGCCTTTACCTTCCAGGACATAACGTGATGCACATTTTAGTCTAAGCTGGCGTCGTAGCTAAGGTCAGTATTTCCACACACACACACACACATACACACACACATACACATGTACGCGCGTGCGTACGCGCATCAGCCTCAACGCGGATGTAACTCTCTACCCTGAGGCCGGCATGCCACCAGTATGTGTAATGTATATCAAACTACAATTGCCCAGCACTCATAGAAAGAAGTAGAAAGAAGATAGGATACACATGAAATTCGAAACCTATAGTTGTCATGCGGGGGATCCAATCTAGCACGACGACAGCGTCTGGCTGCACAAACAATTGTACTAAGACTCATGACCAACCGACTTGGTACATCTGTTCCTGCAGCGTGGCGCTGTTGTCATTTGGAGGTAACCGGTTCGATTTCTGTCATGGTAACTGTTGCTTTCGAATTTTTTTTGTCTGGTGTGTCCTTCTATCACTCTTTTTATTTCTATGAGTGCTGATCAATGCCTGTATGGTTGTTTGATATATATGTATAGTGTTCCTGTAGCCGTAGGAGTCGGCGTCTGTGGCTTGAGCATTGCGAGCGTGCTTCGTAATACGGGGGTGCTGGGTTTGCTCCCAGCTGTGGACAAATTATCTTGCTTTGATTTCGACAGTTGTACCCAGAGCTGACCGTTAAGTATGCAATGGCGAACTACTGAACGTTAGGTTAGCCTAGAAAATCACAACAGCCAAAAAAAAAAATGCTGGGGTTGTTTCTGCAACGTCCTGTAAAGGATACGCAACTAACCCTCAGGGGCTCACCATCTGTTTATTTTACGAATACCCAGTGACTAACTAATCCAGCGTTGATACCAGGTAACAGCACTAGAAGCCCTATCATCACCACGTGGTGTGGAGCAAATGGGCAGGGGAAGCGATACACCAGCAAGGGACCAAAGATGCTGGTAGTTGTCAACACTGACAGCCACACCAGTTACCAGGGAGTCAAGATCAAATACTACACGGTGCCACGTAAGATGTCATGTCTTCTCATGTCATGTTTTACCATATCCTGTTGTCATGTCCTCCTTTATTATGTCTATCATGCCATGTTGTAATGTCCACGTTTATCATGTCATACCATGTCATGTTGTCATATCCTCTTTTATCATGTCATACCACATTATGTTGTCATGTCATATCCAGTTTATCATGTCATGCCATGTGATGCTGTCGTTTCCTCTTTTATAATGGGACATGTTATAAAAAGCTATGTTATCATGTCATGTCCTGTTTATCATTTCATGCCATGTCATGATGTCATGTCCTCTTTTATAATGTTATGTTGTTATGTCCTCTTTTATCCTGTCATAAGAAGTTATGTTTTCATGTCCTCTTTTGTCATGTCATACCATGTCATATTGTCACGTCTTCATTTATCATGTCAAATCATGTAATGTTGTCATGTCCTCTGTTATCATGCCATACAATGGCATGCTGTCATGTCCTCTTTTATCATGTCTCACCAAGTCACGTTGTCATATCATGTCCCATTTTATCACGTCACACCATGTGAAGTCCTGTTTTATCATGTCACATACCATGTCACGATGTCATGTCATGTCCCATTTAACTCTCTCAATCCCAGTCAAGTGTTACTTTAAAAAAACATATACCAAAAACAGCTGTCATTATAAATAATTATAATAAAGTGATGGGTTTGATGGGACCAAAGTGGGACATTGTGAGATGTGACATTCTGAGATGGGACACTATGAGATGGGACACTGTGAGATGGACACTGTGAGATGGGACACTGTGAGATAGGACACTGTGAGATGGGACACTGTGAGATGGGTCACTATGAGATGGGACACTATGAGATGGGACACTGTGTGTGTGTGTGTATTGTGTTCTTTGTTTTGTTTTCAGTGACGAACAAGGAAAGCAAGGGAGAATGCAATCAATATCGAGGCATCACTCTTTTAAGTCATGTTGGGAAAATGTATCCTAAGATAATAAAAACGAGGCTGCGACCAGTGATAGAACTACAGTTGACAGAAGCACAGATGAGTTTCGGAAGAAATGAAAGCTTCACAGATTCAATCTTCACACTTAAAAAGTTAATAAAAAAGAACATCGAATATGATTGAACTTCTTTGTAGCATTTGTAGACCAGAATAAAGCTTTCGACAGGGTCGATAGACAAAAATTATGGAAAGTAATGGCTCTTTTTAGAATAAGTGAACACCTCATTGAAGTTTGAAAAAGTTTATATAGCGACTTTAGAAGCGTTCTAATTAGAATAAATAAGGAAACATCTAAACCATTCAAAGTAACATCTGGACTAGGGCAGGGATGTGACTTATCACCTCTCGTGTTTATCACCTACACTGACAGTAAAAGCAAGGATGCCAGGCCCCGGAACGGGAAAAAAAAAATAGTAATATAAACGAATTACTCTTAGATGATGACTGACTGACTTTCTACCCCACCAGGAACATCACATCCATGAAGCGAATAAAACACCCGAACATGAATCAAAAAAGACCACCATGCGGATGAGGATCACCGTGATTTTGAACAGGTCCCAGAAACCGCGTTCAGACATGCATTGGCCATTGCAATATATGACCTGCCTATATTGCGGCCCCTGGCAAAATGCATTTGAGTGGGGCTTACAAATAAGTTCTAAGAATAATCTACGTCCTAAAAAGAACAAATGCACGTAAATGAATAGAGAGGGTAGATGATGACCAGGCCTTGAATTGCTTGATACAGCCATGAATTTGCAGACAGCATAATCACATATATGAATGAAGAATGTAAAAGGCAAATAACATGAGAATCAGACATCGAAAAGACAGAACATAATGCCAAAAGGAAGGAAGAAGCGGAGGTTCCGCGAGGGACATTACTGAACATAGTATTAGAGCATACATTTATTAAACAGGCATCTGGGCTCTTCCTGTCAACTCAGGCTGTTAGCTGGACAGCCGCCGATCGCTTAGTGGGAGTTCTCTCCCTTGGCTGCATTGCAAACACGGAGCGGAAAAGTCACGAATCAAATGACATACTTACCTATCATCATACGGTTGCGAGTACGGTTGCGTAGTAATCATACGGTTGCGTAGGGTGTAGGGTTTGGGTTAGGGTTAGGGTTAGCGGCGTTAGGGGTTGGGTTAGGGTTAGGGTTTGGGTTAGGGTTAGGGTTAGGGTTAGGGATAGGGTTAGGGTTAGGGTTAGGGTTAGGATTAGGGTTAGGGTTAGGTTTAGGGGTAGGGGTAGGGTTAGGGGTAGGGTTAGATGTGACAATTTTGACGTAGGAGTTCCATATACTGGCTGACAATCTGATGCTTGTGGGAGTGGCGCCAATGGAATTCTCCCAAATATGACGACAATAGCGCGCGGCTGGTGCCCAATCAGTCGCGAATTGTCCGTTTGAGTAGCATCCACAGTCCTTCGATTGTTTGGGTGTGTATGTGACTGTGCCCGATTATTCGGAACTCTTGCGTCAAAATTGTTACATCTAAAACCCTAACCCTAACCCTACCCCTAACCCTAACCCTAGCCCTAACCCTAACCCTAAACCTACCCCTAACCACGCAATTTATCGGTCAGTGAGTCATACAGATCTGCAGGAATCACATCCGTGGCAACTAATACCACGTTTATATATAAAAGTATATATTTACTTTTAAAAAAAAACCCAGATTTCCCCGAAGCGTCAAATAAACACCCAGATCTGGGGGACACACCCAAGCATTGGCAGGCCCTGTTGTCGACCTCACTGACTTTTTTTATTCGTGACTTTTCCGCTCCGTGTTTGCAATGCAGCCAAGGGAGAGAACTCCCACTAAGCGATCGGCGGCTTTCCAGCTAACGGCCTGAGTTGACAGGAGAGCCGGCTTCTGAGTTTAAATAATTTGGAGCAAAATTCACTGAAGATCCGATGCAGTAAAGCAGGCCATGTATTGGGACAGCTAGCCTCCTTTTACAGCATAAGGCAATCCTAGTCACCGCAAAGAAACATCTCATACAAAGCATATTTATTCCCATCCTATGCTACCAGTGCCAATCGTGGTCACTAACAACAAAACATAAAAGACAAATAGTAATCATGGAAAAAAATTGTCTGAGAAAGACTGTAGGAGTGACAAGAAAAGATAAAATCAGGGAAGAGGTCATGCGAGATAAAGTCGGCACAGAAACAATTCTAAATTACATAAAGAGATAGCAAATCAAATGGTCTACCCACTTGGAGAGAATTCCTTCTGTTGCTATACCACACAAGGCATATAATTAAAAGATAACAGCGAAGTAGAGCAAAATTTAGACCAAGAACATATGGAAATTTAACATCAGAGAAATCCTACAGCACCATGATGTGCCTAGTGGTCGAATCGGCCAGAAGAGCGGGAAGCAGGACCTTTTATCCCCAAGCGGTAAAAGAGGAGGTAAAGAAAAAGTTGTTGATGTTGCCGAATTCATTGTTAGTTCATCAAAGTGGTAAACTAATTGATTATCTTGTGTGTTACAGAGATGGGTGGCTGCAGTGTGGTCACAGAAATGGAGGTTAACACAACATTTCAATACTTGACGTCACCAAACTATCCCTTCTACTATCCCTTGTAAGTTACATAAATTATTAACTACACCAAACGTAAAAGGTAAAAGCAGAGAGGACCGACTTCGTTGTCCTGTAAAGTTTTTTTTTTTTTTTTAGCGAAGTGCCTGGTGGTTTGTAGCGCAAGCCAATGGGAAATCTTTAGTGCAAGACAGCCTGGCATACGCCACCACAACTTCTAGAATGAGAATGGAGGTAGAGGCGGTAACTAGCAGCTCTCTGGTGGCTAATGAACAAGATGCATACACATGTCGTATTTGTAACAGACTCTGAAAGCATGCTGAAAAAGATGAAGACATAGATGCCTCGAGCAGAGTGGCAAGCTTCACTGGAATGGTCACGGGTAGTGAGCATATTTTAGATCTTTTTCCTCTAGGCTATGCTGGCGTGGTGGGTAATAAACAGGCAGACAGATTGGTGGATCTGCAGCACTCAGTTGTAAATTGATACATGACCAGGCCGATGTGGTCGAGGCCTTGTGAGAACAAGAAAAGGAAACAGTAGAGATAGAAGATAATTATGGACTAGGGAGAATGAGGCCTCTGGTGTAACCATAGGATCTGGCCGGCTCCCTACACTCAGAGGAAAGGCAAGACGGACATATAACCAGATTGTGACCAGTTCCATCAGTATTAGAAACTGCGCTGGCTGCTAAAGATGAGGACGGAGCACGCATGAGAATGCCCCGAGTGCTGTGATGTCAGTTCTTGACTCAACTCAACTCAACACTTAACTGCCCTGGATTTTATCCGATATGGCAGGGTTATTAAAATGTCGGACTGCGGGTCGAATCCGGGCCGAAAAGGTATAACAAGTGGCGCATGAATAATTGTCAATGTTATTTTAATTAAAGATCTTTCTACGCTGGGAGGAGGGAGGGGAAGCTCAGACCTGTGGTCCGTAACGACTCTCCCTTTTCAACATTTTGGTCCCCCCTGAGTAAACATAGTTGAATAGCCCTGCCATGTGACTGGAACGGCCAGCCGCCTGCCTTGATCGTCCCACAAAGCACGAATTATGTTGCTCCAGCGACGAGCTTAGGGGATCTCAAAAATAAATTACACAGGTGAAATAAATGAAACTTCCCTAAAACAAACCCATGACCTTAAGAGCGTCAGGTACACCGTGTAACCTCTTCGCCACAGAGTTCCTAAATGATTAAACAAAATTATAATTCAGAGACGTGAGTAAGGATTTGCATGACTGATTGAATGAATAATTGACTGAATAATAAATAATTATTTGCATTGAACTGAATATGGAATAAATATTGATTGAATACGGAATTGTCTGATTCATCATCTTCAATTTTCACTTTTGCCGTTAAGTGTTGTGGGGAGGCACAGTTAGCGATCCATTGCTTCATGGGCAGCAACGGCCATTGTCAAACTGTGCCGGCGTAGAAGCTCTTTAATGTCATTACTCCATGTTCTCCTAGGGCGGCCTCTTGCTTTCATATCAGGTCGTTCAGTGTGTAGCTCCTGTATTGGTAGTTGTTCTGATTGTATTCTACTAGATGACCAAACCACTTGATCCTCTGTTTGTCAATTAGTTTGGTCCACAGTATTGTTCCTACGGTCTGTCGGATACTATCATTTCTAACTTCATTTCGGATGGTTAAGACTTTCCTCAGGCATCTAATTTCACAGTTGTTAATTTTACGTAGGTTAGAATTGGATAATTTCCAAGTTTTTCACTGGTAGCACAGTGTTGGTATGAATATGCTGTTTATGATCTGTTTCTTGGTGCTCATACTTATGTCTGGATGTGCTAACAATGGCGTCAGTTGGTATTTAAGTGCACTGGCTTGTTGTCGTCTTGTTTGTATTTTCCGATCTATTCTCCCGTCCTCCGAGAATATACTTCCAAGATATTTAAATTCTCAACTTGCTTGTGTACATATATTCTTCTGTTCTCACTGTGCTTTGTAAAGTAAGGTACATGGCCATGATATTTTCTAGCAACTGTCCTTGTGTCCCATAATCCTTAACAATAGTCCACAATATGTTTCTAGTGCAAAACGTTTTCTTGATCTACAAACACATTTAGTTCTGATTGACAGAATTATTTAATTATCGATTAATTGATTTTAATCAATTACCATCCAGAGCGTACATTTCATTACCCTTTAATGATCGTAGTTACTCATTTAGATCACTCTATGAGAATCTTAGCTCAGTGCATGATCCGCAGAGGATGCTGAGTGTGAATAAGTGTGACCTAAATCAGTGAAAACAGAAGCATCAGAAGATTGTTTAAAGTGTTCTCTCAGTGGTCTATTGTGCTAATGAACCGTATATCTACTACTCAAAATAATTCCAACAAATAATGATTAAATTAATTATTCGATTAGTTAGTTAGTTGAGTTTCCTGCACAGGACTTTGCAGAACCAACCCCGGCGCTTTTTTGTTTGTTGTAGACAAATTTTACGTTCCCTAGTTTGCCATTTCTTTTTGAATGGTAAGCAATCGGTACCATCGTCGAAACCAATGCAAGACCAACCGTCTATTCGATTATTCATTAAATATATATATATATATATATATATATATATATATATATATATATATATGTGTGTGTGTGTGTGTGTGTGTGTGTGTGTGTGTATGCAATTATTAGGTCCCAGTCAGTATAGTTAATTGAAACAACCAGTCATTTAATACTTACATCATTGAATAAATATATTAATCGTGCACATAAAATATGAGTTCACAAAATATCCGGTTTTTCTGACTCTTTTCTTCCTCAGCAATAGCTACTGTGAGTTCAAACTATTGGCACCCGAGGGACATTTCATACGGTTTGAAGTCATGGATTCAAAAATAGAAGATGACTGTAGCGACACTGTGCGAGTCTACAGCGGTACGTGATACACTGGTTCTAAAAGCTAGTTCTGTAATTGTATAGAAAGTAGGTGTTGTATCCTATGTACAAAAAAAATTTTTTTAAAACAAATTTGAAATCATGAGTAGTGTATGAAGCAACTTGGGGCTGCATCGGTATCGATTTTTAGCTCAACCGCCTTCTTCATCCTTAGTGAAAGATGGCGGCCATCTGACGTCACAAGTGATTAGTTTTTTTTTCCGGCGGTAAAGGACCTATGTCCCAACAGTACTGTAGTGCAAGGTGATAAAGGACCTATGTCCCAACAGTACTGTAATGACCTATCCAACAGTACTGTAAGGTGATGAATGACCTGTATAACAGTACTGTAGCCTAATGAACTGTATCCCCAACCTTTGATGAATGACCTGTGTCCCAACAGTACCGTAGCAAGGTGATATTGTGTCCCAAAAGTACTAGCGCAAGGTGATGAATGACCTGTGTCCCAACAGTAATGATGGCTGTTAGCGCAAGGTGAAATGACCTGTGTCCCAACACCGTACTGTATTAATGGCGTTCCAAGGTGATGAATGACCTGTGTCCCAACAGTACTGTAGCGCAAGGTGATGAATGACCTGTATCCCAACAGTACTGTAGCGCAAGGTGATGAATGACCTGTATCCCAACAGTACTGTAGCGCACGGTGATGAATGACCTGTGTCCCAACAGTACTGTAGTGCAAGGTGATGAATGACCTGTGTCCGAACAGTACTGTAGCGCAAGGTGATGAATTACCTGTGTCCCAACAGTACTGTAGCGCACGGTGATGAATGACCTGTGTCCCAACAGTACTGTAGTGCAAGGTGATGAATGACCTGTGTCCTAACAGTACTGTAGCGCAAGGTGATGAATGACCTGTGTCCCAACAGTACCAAGGTGTGAATGAATGACCCCCCCCCCCCTCCCAAACAGTACTGTAGCGCAAGGTGAATGAATTACTGACCTGTGTCCCAACAGTACTGTAGCACAAGGTGATGAATTACCTGTGTCCCAACAGTACTGTAGTGCAAGGTGATGAATGACCTGTGTCCCAACAGTACTGTAGTGCAAGGTGATGAATGACCTGTGTCCCAACAGTACTTTAACTCAAGGTGATAAATGACCTATATCCCAACAGTACTTTAGCTTAAGATGATAAATTACCTATGTCCCAACAGTACTGTAGTAACATAATATAACATAACCCTTAACTGGTTAGGGTCGTGGAGGTGTATTGATCGAAGCACTAGCACATAAAGCCCGCATCTTTCTCTGCTTTCGGTAGATGAATAAGTATGATAACCTAATCCTGTCTTTTTCTTGATGTTGTCATTCCACGTTCTTCTTTGTCCTCCTCTTCTTCGACTACCCCCCCCCCCACCCCCTAATGTTTCTTGAAGCACAGTCTTTGCATTCGAATTATGCCTTACCACGTGTCCAAACCAAGCTAGTTTCACCAATGCCAAGAGAGGCTCCTGATGTCCTGCAAATCTGTATATTTTGTCTTTGACATATTTATTAGTGTTTTACTCCAAATAACTAATTCCTAAATTGCGTCTATTGTATTTACATTCGAAAGCCTAAATCCTCCTTTCCATGTCCATCGTAATAGTCCTACCCTCACGTCTGTAACAGAAAATAGACAATACCAGTGATTTGTAAATATTGACTTTGACTGCGATGCTGATTTTGCTCTTCCACATCGTATTCAGCTGGGACATCTCGGCTGTTGTCATATCAAGTCTTGTCTTTGGTACAGCTGCCACCGGTTACATATGTACGAGGCAAGATATTTAATAAGTTTCACCTTTTTTTCCCTCCATTTTATCTGTATGTTGGTAAGTACTTTGTTACTGTGACTATTTACCAGAATCTTCCTTCTCTCTGCATTAATTGCCATGCTATATTTACCACAGACTGTCTCTGATTTTGTAGTAAGTTCTTCGAGTTCTGTTTCGGAACCAGCTATGAGATCTATGTCGTCTGCAAAACGTAGATTTCATATTTGTCTTCCGCCAATGAAGAAGATATTTCATATTTTCTAGTGATTCTCTCATGATGTGTTCCAAATACAAATTGAAAAGGACACGGGATAGTATGCAACCCTGTCTCACTCCCACTCTGGTATTTGAAAAAAAAATTTTTTTTTAATGAGTACTGCACTGACTGCAACTTTATAAAGTGCTTCAATAGTGCCTTTGATGTTCTTATCGACGATGAAATTTCTCTTTTTTTTTTTTTTTTGCCACACGGTCAAATGCCTTTGTGACAGGTCGCGTTGATCAACATCATTGTTCTGATGCTAAAGATTTTGTTCTGTGGTGTTACTATTTTTTCGGAAACCGGCCTGTTTTTTTTTTTTTTTTTTTTTTCAGCCAATATTTCTCCAGTTTTGCTTCTTTTTTAATGAGCGTATAAATACTGAAAACTAATAATAAAAAGTTTGAATGTTAAGGGTTTGAACAACGGATCAACATCATGGCACAAGGGTCAGAACCCATAAGTCCTCCGTTCAACTTGTAACTCAAGTCTGCGTCTGAAGTAGCTCCGCACAGTGCATGGGCTCCGTAGCACCGGCTAAAATCCTGATAATACTTTGGGTAGATTTGTAACTTCAAATTTGGCCTGAGCAGCCCCGTAAGCCTACTCTTTTTGATTTCCAACTGCCACCGGTTTTTTTTCTTCTTCAAAACGTGCGCAACAATACATACGGGCAACCGATCTCACTACCCAAATACTAGAATAGAAGTCCACTTAAAAAATCCCAGCCTTCACCAGGGTGTGACCCAGGACCTCTGGCACTTGAGGCAGACATCATGCCTCGAGACCACTCAGTCCCCTAATAATAAATATTAAAAATAATGCATTTCGTCTTTTGCAATGGAAATTGTAAGCGGCTGTTTATATGCGCGCCTTGACACTGATCTAGTACTAAACGCCCGATTCGCCCCCCCCCCCTCCTCTCCCCCCCCCCCCCCAAAAAAAAAACGGGGTCATTAACTTTTTTTTTCTTTCACAGGACTGGAAAAGAAGTATGAGAAATACTTGGGGCGCTGGTGTGGCGACGAGAAGCCCAAATATAAAAGTGAAGGGAGAGAAATGCTGATTGTTTTCTCAGCAGATGATAATCTTAACAGTGGAGGTTTTCATGCCAGGTTTTATGCAGACAAAGGTTAGTCAGATTTTGTTGAAGGTATGTAATGTGAAAAAAAAAAAAAAAAATATTCTTAGTCATAGTTATTAACTCTAATCGGTAGGGGTTTGCAGGTAGGCAGTCTTTCAAGAAGCACAGGCATTTTCAGTGATGGTGTTTGCTGCTCCATGAATGTGACGAGGGTATCATGTGAATTTACTACATTACGTGATACAATGTTAGTGAAAGTCTGTGGTAATACATTTTCAACACTTCAAGACAAAGGTGGTGTTTGAGCATGTACTGATCAGAACAAAACTTCTTGGTTAGAGAAACTATATGCAATGAGCCAAGATTTTGTGGATATACTGTGAGGAGAAAACACTTTAAAGTTTCATAACAACTGGCAGACTTAGGCCTAACTGGTACAGGGGAAGGCAAAGAACAACATACGTATGCCCTTGTGGGTTCTGGTACCCCACTGTCGAAAAGGGTTGGGGGGAGAGAACAGATCCACTGCCCCATTATAATTATGACATAAGAGTCGACTAATTCACTCGCGGTGGGCTTCCATAAAAGTCAAAGTGTAAAGTTAGTAAAGGATCCTTTTCCACGCCTTTAGACGTGTAGGGCATATAGGGCTAGACCTATATTTTATAGACCAATCGGCACAAAATGGGTGATGTGGTCAGCATCACGCCTTTACTTCCAGGGACTGAACCTGATACCCACTCAAGGCTGGGTCGACCTGAGAGCCAAGAAAGTCAAAGTGTATCTGCCCTAAAGACGAGGACTAGCTGTCAGCATTCAGAAACACCATATGTGTAAAACTGATGTGCATTCAAAGTTCAAATTCTGAAATAAGACTGAAGTCCAGCCATGGACGAACAACCAGGACTTTAAGTCGGCGTTCACAGCCGATGAATGCAAACAAAAAAGAAGAAGGAGAATCACTAGCGTGTTCGGTAAAATGACACAAAGTAGTAGTAGTAGAAGAAGAAGAAGAAGAAGAAGAAGAAGAAGAAGAAGCAGGAGCAGAAGCAGAAGAAGAAGAAGAAGAAGGAGGAGGAGGAGGAGGAGGAAAAGAAGAAGAAGAAGAGGCTGGGGCTGATGATGATGGTGCTGATGATGAGGAGGAAAAGGACGAGGATAAACGATTTCCTTATAAAATATTGTAATAACTATGTTTACACTGTAATACGTAATATTTATTTTTTAAATAATGCGTATTTCCATTTTTGCAGATACCAGTAGTAACTACCTCATACCTGCCATTGTTGGATCTCTCCTGATTGTGATAACCATCATTGTCATTGTTATCGTTGTCATCTATATATTTATACGACGCAAAAAGGGAAGCCATGGTAGTACCTCAGTATGTGTAAAATAGCAAGGAGAAGTTACAGAACACACCGGTACACCGCGGCTTGGGAAGTCTGTGGCTGTAAATTGTTAAACGCGATCAAGGCAAAACTGCTGGCCAAATGAAACATCGGTGCAAGTCAAACTTCACGGGTCGCCGAGTGAATTACAACAGACAGTGAAATTCATACTAAAGACAACATTGCAGATAGAAAATCTTTTTCAAGCGAACGAAAGAAGAAGCAGAAGTAGAAGCTAAACGTGAATGTAAACTAAGTCCCAATACTTGCATATGATTGTTCAGAGAACTGCCGAATTCTTTGAAATTTTACAAAACAGGAGAAAACTGGGAAAGTTTTTAGTAATAGTAAGAGTCAAGGAAAACTAGAAGTTCGCGGCAGTTTTTTAAGTGTCGAGGAAAACTGCAAACTTTTTTAGAAATTTGAAGAGTCGGGTAAGTAGTAAAGCAACACGTGGCGCATGGTAGAACTCTGAAGAGTCATTGCGCAGAAGTTTGTAGCTTTTTGAATCCTGTGGGGGATATGAAAAAGTTTACAGAAATGTGAAAAGTAAGAGAAATAACCACAAATTTAACAATCCGAAGAGTCGTAGAAATTTAAATGGTAGTAACATTTTGAAGAATCGAAGAAATATACCGGAATTTATAGAAACATGAGTAATCATAAGAATATTCAGACGTTTTAAATGAAGAGTCTGAGAAAGGAGCTGATGTTATAAGTGGGTGAAAGAAAATTGATACACGCGAACACGGTTATTTAAATTAGATAAAATAATTACCACAGAAAATTGGGTGCTTTATTAAAATCCTACCCCAAACAGGGGAAACCCACAGGTCACGGGACAGTCTAATATTTTAGGGGGTGGTAGATAGGCTGCACTCATTCGTGGGACTTAGGCTTCACTCTCTTGAGGGATGTAGCTAGGTTAGGGTTAGGGCCAGTTCTAGATGTTTTGGGGGTCGTTAAAAGCATTAGAAAGCCGGGAAACCCAGTCTTACCACCCCCTAAAATGTTGGACTGTCCTGTGACGTCATCTGGAGTAGGATAATAATTTAAAAAATTGTTATAAATGGTATATAAAAAGCATGATATGTACGCTAAAACTGACAAGGCCAACTCCTTTTGTCGCCTCTTATGACATGCTCGATTGCGTCATTGCTTATGCTCTTTACTTACCCTAATGGTGTCAGTAACACATACGTACATCCCATTCTTCGTCTACTTCTTTACTTCCTCGGTTACCGCTTCGGGTGTTCATGGAGATTTACGTTTCTGCTTCTTGTTCTTCTGGTTTACTCAGTTACAGATGCCAAGTGTTGTTATAGTGTTTGTGATATTCTTGGCTGACTGACTGACTGACTTTCTACTCCACCAGGACATCACACAAGCGATAAACACACAAAGTGCCACCATGCGGATGAGGATCGCCGTGGAGAGGTCCCAGAAACCGCGTTCAGACATTTGGCCATTTTTATGGCCTGCCTATATTGAGGCCCCCGGAAAAAAAACCAGGCTGGAGCTTCAAATAAAAAAAAAAATTTTCATCCTGAAAAGGACGATAGAGAATAACTGAATAATATTCTTGGTCTACTTCTTGCTATTTATACCTCTCCTCTTTCAGTGTATGCTTTGTATGGTATCAATCACTTCTCTCTAGGTGGGCAGACCATTTTATTTGCTGTGTTTGTATATCATGGGGAATTGCCTCTGTGCCACTTTTTCAATTTTTTTCCTCCTGTTATCATTTCTGGTCACTCCTGCAGCTTTTATCAGACATTTCGCGTTTACCAGTTTTCTTTACTGGTTTAGCGTGAGTGACCATGCCTAACACTTTTAGCACAGGATGGGAATAAATATGCTTTTTATGTTTCTTTGTGCCAATTGGGAATGTCTTGTGTTGTCAAAAAGTGGGGTCGAAGTCACAAGCTCTCATTGCTTGGTTTAAATTAAACCTTTTCACGATCTCCATTATTTAGTTCTATTCTTTCAGAGTACGGGTATTTTTTTTTTAAACACCCCAATGATCAACTAGCTTTCCAAATAAAGCAGAAGAATACATATACTATTGTTAAAGTAACTGACAAATGTAAAGGTGATATACTTGGTATGTTAGTTGCGTATCCTTTACAGGACGTTGCAGAACCAACCCCAGCATTTTTTTTTTTTGACTGTTGTGGTTTTTCTTGTTTGATATACAATGATGTAATTAGCTGATGTAAAGTGTTTTTATTGCTTGTTTTCTATTTAATTTTATTTAGACATTTCTCAGTGCAGCTTCAGCAAGTGAAAAATAACTGTTTAAAGTAAACATTTTGCTTTTTTTTTTTTTAAATAAGTGACCTTCTATCCAGGTCTATAATTATGGCAGCAGAAGTGAGGTTTTCATTTAATCATGTAACCAGTCATTCAGTCTCGTTTAGTAATCAGTAAACATTCAATAGTACTATAGAACACACCATTTGATGCACTCGGTACATTTATTCATTTGTGCATTCTATTAGCAGACTAGTTTGGTATAGTAGCAATTGTGTTAACATGGATTATTTATGTAAAGTTTCATTGTTGTTGTTGTTGTTGTTGTGTGGTATTATTCAAACCTTCCTAATCCGCTCACACACTTGCTGGGCTGATAGGCAGGCATCACCATTAAGTAAATTAAATGACCTTTTTCCACGCCTTTCATGCGTATTGGGTATATAGGGCTAGACCTATATTTTATAGATAACGGCACAAGATAAGTATTGTGGTCAGCATCACGCCGGCCACTTTTATTAACCATGACTGCACCCAGTACCCACTCAAGGCTGGGTCGACCGGAGAGCCAAGGTCATTTTTGATAAGTCCGGCTCCGCCACGACCCACGACCTTCCGATTCGCAGGCGAGTGTCTAGCTGCTACGCTATGTCGACCCCTATGCATCACCATGCTGGATTTTTCTTTCGATGCCGACAGTCAACCTAAGGATCAGGCTGTTATTATTAATGCCCTCTAAGAAATGAGAAGGGTGGAGGACTTCGGGGGCAGCAAATCCACATCACTTGCCAGATTGATTAAGCTTAACGATCGGCATAGCAAAAAACGAGACGAGCACCAGGTACATCATAGGAATTGTTAATCAACATAGAACTGGTACTATTAGCCACGGGACACTGGGGTTTGTACTGAGGGAAGGATCTGGGCACCAGTGTACATGTCCGGAGTGCAATGATGATAACCCAACTAACTAAATAACTGTATTTTTCTGTTAAATTTAAAAGAAAAAAAAACTTTGTTTTGTTTTTTATTGTAAAGATGAGACCTACGTAATATGTCAATTACACACATACAAATGAGGCTAAATTTCTTTACATACAGATTACAGATGCAATTTGAGTTAGGTGAAGCTGCATCTCATAATTTATACAGCTGCTTTCAATTAAAGATATCTAGAATATGCGATGTTCAGTATTTACATTTATCCCAACTTGAGGATTCATACCTCAAAAGACTGGAAGAACAGATGGACAGACTGGCTGGCTCTGCAGAACTTGGTGGAATATTGATGCATGATAAGGCAGACGTGGTTAAGGCCTTATGGGAACACGTGTACAATTTGGAACAGCAAACTGATGATCACAGTCTGGTGAGAGTGATGTAGCGAGGAGTGACAAAGGGCTGTGGCCAATACTCGACGCTGAGAGGAAAAGTAAGACAGACATATAATCAGACTGTTTCTAGCACCATTGGTATTGGAAATCTGCCTGGGCTGCTGAAGATGGGGAATGAGCGCTTTTGGAAATGCCTCGAGTGCTGTAATGTTGGTTCTTGAATTAAATCAATTGAAATCAACCAGGCTGGAAATCAGTGTTGGTAAATCCCAGAAATCATTGGCCAGTCTGTAAAAGGACAGAGCCACGAGAACATGACTGCGGTGACAACAGTTCACTAATTCACTCCATGCTGTCATGACTTTTAAATGCATCTAAGATTATTTTGTAAAACTGCAACTCACAGGATGACCCATATGCTTAAGGACTAATTATATGTTTAAGACAAAAGAACAAATATTATACCTTTCCCTTTGTTTTCCTCACCAGTGTAAATGATATAATTGTACACTCTGTTGTCATTTATCCTTCTTAATTTTTTTCTCTCATTTCTTCACTACCAAAAGTCATGTAATAAAACTTGTAATCCTGTTATCAGTTTCATTTGTGGCCATAAAACGTCTCACGAATGTGAAGAGGGCATTTTAGTTTTCATAATAAAAATTTGAAGAAAAAAAGAAGAAAAAAAAAAAGGTAAAGGACCCTTTTCCACGCCTTTAGGCGTATTGGGAATATAGGGCTAGACCTATAATTTAATGACCAATCGGTGCTTGGTGGGTGATGTGGTCAGCATCATGGCGGACCCCTTTACCTCCCAGGACTGCACCTGGTACCCACTCACGGCCGGGTCGACCTGGGAGTCAAGGTCATTTTTGAAAAAGAAAAAGAAAGTCTGGCTTCGTCAGGACGCAAACCCACGACCTTCCGATCAGCAGTTATTATAATAGATGGGTGTATCTAGGGCTCTTTGTCTAGAAATGAAAGGTGTCGGTACATACTATAAACTGCCTAAAAAGGTGCCGGTAATCTCCTTTATTAAAGTACCATTTTTTTTTTAATGATGCAGAGAAACGGTGCAAGTTTTTTGTACCCTTTCGTACCACCAGAAAAAAAAAAAAGCCCTGGCCCATTTATCAGATTTGAAAGCTGTTCTTCTTCCTTTTGTTGCCCTTTACTCCCCACTGAGAATTGACCCTGAACCAACTCATGCCACCTCGCCCTAACTTTTGCTAATACATGTAACTTACCCATGCAGGCACACTGTCACAGAAGGGACAAAAAATGGGAGGGGAAGGGGTGCTCCTCCTTATAAGTCTTGTTTTACAGCGCAATAACAATAGTTATTATTATTACTGTGCAGTGAACGGCAAAAAAAAAAGTACAATAATCTATTTGAAATATTATAGAATGTATCACTGTTT